TAAAAATTATTAATGAGATATTTTACATCTTTTTTTGTACAAAGTCTTCAGAATCCAGGGTGTATTTTATACCGTCGACACTTCTCAACGGGGACTAACCACACTGCACGTGCTCAGTGGCCACATGTGGCTTGTGACTACTACACTGGACAGAGTGGGTCTAGACTGTAAGGGACAGGAGCCTGCAGAGGACAGAGGTCCCGCTCAGTCACTGAGCGTGCACTGTATGCCAGACACTGGGCTGAGCACTTTGTCCACATCATACATCATCTCCTTTCATCCCCACATAGACCTGTGAGATTAGCATTATTATCACCCCATTTCACAGATGGGGAAAGCGAGGCTGAGAAAACTGAAAACACTTCGCCAGGATCATCTGGCTGGTAAGAGCAGAGCTGGGCTTCAAACCAAGGTCTCTCACAGTCCATTGCCACCTCAGAACCTCAGGGTTTCTGTAAAGGATTTTCTATAACAGGCCAGATAGTAAACATTTTAGGCTTTTTGGACCAATCTGTCACAAGTACTCAGCTCCGCTATTGTAACAGGAAAGCAGCCTTAGACAATGTGTAAACAAATGAGCATGGCTGTGTCCCAATAAAATTTTATCTAGGGAAACAGGCAGAGGGCTGGATTTGGCCCTTGGGCTGTAGTTTGCCAAGCCCTGTGCTAGGCTAGCACAGCTGCCTCTGTAGGCCCAGTTTGAGGGAGAACTCAATGACTAATTGCTGAGGTTCTGCGGTGCATGCGTGTCGGGGGTGGTTGGGAGGGTGAGACCCTCTCCTTCCAGAATCACCACGGCCCTCCTGGTGTCCGGAAGGATCCAGAGTGGCTGCTTGTTGCTGGCACCACCTCAGAGTCTGCCAGGGGCTCAGTCAGCCCCTCTAACTCCCCAGCCTCCTCTGAGCTCCTGGCCGTAAACATGAGTTATTCCCACTCTCAGGGCTGAGACAGAGGGGAAATAAAAGCCAGGACTGATGGAATCCCAGACATAAAATCTGGCACCATAATGCCTACATTTTGGAAATTGCCTTTAATTAACGGTTTATGGCCGCAAAGACTCCCCCCACCCTCTGTCCTTCTGCAGCATCTTCTCCTTGGCGTTCAAGTCCTGGGGGTCGGGGAGGGGGTGAAAGAGGTGGGTTGGTGAGTAGCTGTCTTTTCTCAGAAACCAAAATGTGCGGTTTGCTCATATGAACTCAGCTTGGCCTCTGGCATTCCTCGAGCCTGGACTCCAGAAACAATGTGAATTGAAAAGCCAGCTCCCCGCACAGGCCCGAGGCCTGTTAGCTATAGAATAACCTGCACACACTCACAAAGACACACCAAGCTCAGGAAAACACACACTCACAAGTGTGTGCACACACACACCCCGGAAGTCTGCTTTTTCTCTTTGTCCGCTTATCTGTCATTCCCTCTCTACTCAGTCTCTCCAGCCTGTTTATCTTCTTGGTTTTGTGTCTCTCTAACACTATTTCTTCCTGAAGGTTTTGCTCTTTGAGTCTCTCTTTCATTCTCTCTCTCTCTCCTGTCTTTCCCCGTCCTACGCCCCTTGATCTCCCTTACTGGGGACATATAGCCAAGCACCGCAAACACACCCTTAGCCCCCACCTTGGCACCGAATCCACAAATTCGCCCCTCCCCTCACAGGTGCCCCCTCCCAGACAGGCCGGAGTCTGACTGGGACGATGAACTTCTGCCCAGGTGGGCTTGACAACAGGTGGGACTGGGTTCCCTCCCTAAGCACCTGAACTGAACTCAAATCACATTTCATCCCAGGAATGCAGGGAGGGACTGAGGCAACGACTGCTAAATTCTAGGTGTAGCCAAAAAAAATTGCCCAAGCCCCAGGGGAGAAGCCCTTTATTACCAATAATAGTCATCCTTGACTGAGTGCCTACTATGGCTTCACATTCAGAATTTGCAATAGTCATGTTAACCTAGGTGGTAGATATTATTATTGAATATTATTCCCATTTTATAGATGGGAAAACTGAGGCTTCAAGAGGTAAAGGAATTTGCCTAAAGCCAAAGTCTATTCAACTCCAAAGCCTGGTCTCTTCCCACAGGGCTGGTCCAAATGGATAACATGGGCTGTGTCTTGAGATTTGGGGTAAACAGATTCAGCCACACATGGTCTCTTGTCTTCCCAGAATCATGAAACAGAGACAGGACTCCACTACAGGAATAAGGCAGAGGTTCTCAGCTCTCTCCAACCTAAGAAGGACACCCTGTTTGGGTGCCAGTGGTCAACACCTGTAGGACCCAATCAGAAAGGCTTCCCTGCCAGCCAAGCCTGTCCTTGGGAGCACGGTTCCAGCAGGAGGGGACACCTAGCCTGAGGTCTGTGCCCCTAGCCAGGCAGCTAGCTCTCTTACCAGGCAAGGTCTTGGAGCCCCCAGGCAGGGCTGCAGAGGCAGCTGCTGTTTCTGCATTCCGGGGCACCATGGCAACATGTGTGCTCAGATTGGCGACCTGCACATAGTCTGTGCCATCTGCTGTTTTCCGGGCTGGGGGGGTGCGGGCTTGCCTTCCGTCCACCTGAGAAGGGAAATATAATGATGCTGCAGTGACCTCTCACCCCTACCCATCCAGTATAGATAGGCCCCATCACCCCCACTGTCACTGAGTCTGCCTCCCAGACTCCCCAGGGCCTCCCAGAGAAGGAGGCAGAAGGCCCGGAGCGGCATCATGACAACTTGCAGGGGTGGAAACTGAGGCACGAGGCACCATCTCTGCCCACCCAGAGTTAGGTCACTCTGTCCAGTGCCCTGCTGGACCGGGGGTGGCATCTTTCAGGCTGGGTGACTGTGGGCACCGAAGGGCTCTTGGCTGGGCAGTTAGAGGCCCCCAAGCGTTGGGGAGAAAGGTTTCGGTGGACCTGGGATGAAGGAGAAGTGTGTGGCCACCAAGCTGGTATAGCCATTTCCCAAGAGTCATCCAAGGTGTTTCAACAGAGGGAGGCAAGGGAATTGGGGGAAGGGGCTTTGTGACTTGAAAAAGTAAGATTTCTAGGCTGCGTTTTTTTTTCAACTTCAAAAATAATATAGTCAATGCAGAAAACTTGAGAAATAGAAAAACATGCACACACACTGTCACACTCACAAGTGCACACTCACACACACACATTCATGCACAATTACCCATCACCCCTTTCCAGAGATAAAGACTTTTAACATTTACCCACCTAGTATAATGTAATATATTACATATATATGTATATATTACATATACATAATTATATTATACATTATATATAGTCATATATATATATTTTTTTAATGTGGTTGGGATTACATTGTACGTGCTATCTTGTACTGTGCTTTTACACTTGACAATAGATTGTGAACATTTTCCCATGTCAAAACTATTCCCCTGGGCTTCCCTGGTGGCGCAGTGGTTGAGAGTCCGCCTGCCGATGCAGGGGACACGGGTTCG